CGCCCAGTTGCTACGAGTAGATGATAAATAAATCATAAAAATTACGCCAAAATACAATAAATTTGGGAATGCGCCTCCTAGCCAAAACAGATACCCTCATTTAGGCCATCATTCCGTGTTCGCTGTGCACTGTGGATAGCGATTATGCCGGGCCGAAGAGCTGCCAGGGATCGCCTCCTGTACTCCTCCTGTTATCCTCCTTGTATTAAACAAACAGCTGAAGCATTTAACTCACTCATCAAATGTGCCCGATGACGACTGTTGCCATGGCCCCAAGGAAGTGGGAAATGTTGATCCGTATGCCGGGCACGTAGCTCATAGCAATGCCAAATTTTCATTTCGCCTTGCTGCCAATTCACACTGGTCTGAATGCCGCAGCTAGCCAAACAAAATGCCACAAAGACAAAAGAATCTCTCGTCTCTCGATATCTTATAGAGATTCCTGGAAGTGGGGTTTACATGAAAATATTTGGGATTTATTTAGAATAACAGTCAAAGCTCTCTTTAATACTTCAAGCGAGCTTTTGGCACTCTTAAAGCATAGATTATAGATTCTTGTTAGAAATTCCTGATGTGAAAACATTTGTGATCTATAAAAGGAAATAAATATTGAACTTTTTAAAGTAACAGTCAAAGATTCTTAAACCTTAAGATTTTCTCACGCTTAAAGAGAAATATTTTAAACTTCAAAATTTAATTTGTTTATTTTTTAGCCTCATGCGTGCTTTTTTTTTTAATTTATGGAATTAAATACTTATGATTTCATTCGTTGACTACGGCTACTGAAGTTTAGGTGAAACTTTTTAAATTTTTTAAGGAAAACTGTTGAGCTCTGCTAACATAATAACTAAAGCACATTAAAGCTTCCAAAGAAAAAGTTGTTAATCAACATTCCAATAAATTTATAGAAAAAATATTTGTTTTCTTGCTTCGGGCCAAGTGTGCAGAGCGCGTGACGACGTTTAATGGGCAGTTGCAGCTGGCTGTGTTATTGATGGGAAACGTCTATAAAAGCGAACGGCGTTTATGCCCAATTAAATTGGGCAAGAAGTGTCGAATCGAGTTATACAAACACACAAATAAATATATATAAATATATATGTGTATAGAGAAGAGAAATGCGTATAATTGTAGGGCGTGGCAGCGCTGCCCACACGTGCGCTCTTCAGGTGTGCTGAAAGCGGATGCGGCTGGCAAACATTGGTCAGCACGTGGCGAGTCCTGGTGAAAGATTGTTCGGTTCAACAGAGTTCAGCATAAATAGTGAGTGCTTATATATAATTTATGACCCGCCGAGCACCACACATGGCACACACGGCACGCACCACTGACCACAGAAGAGCCGGGTCGCCAGATTGGCAGCCGGATCGGGGGCGTTGCTCCTCGCCCCACGCCCGATGACAGTTCTACGAATTCTTGGAGTTGTGCTGTCAGCACGGCTTAATGCCACTTAATATGAGCCACAGGCTCTGCTGCCGGGTGCGAGGCGGATGCGCGTTTATTAGCAACTTTATCAACAGTTAATTAAATTTCGTGTTTAATGATTCGAGCAGCAGAAGTCGGCAACTTGGCGAACTGCTTGCGGCTTGGCTCTTATTAAAGTTGAAAAGGCAATTCTTGGCCAACACAGCTCAGCTCAGTTGAATGCATTGCCCGCCGCCTGATGCCCTTTGCCTGTTGCCTGTTGCCTGTTGCCTGGAAATAGCCAAGTTAACAATTACAAGTTAAATGAAACGAAAAGCGCCTTTTAATAATTGCCTGAGCAATAGCCCACAAGTGGGCTATAATTCGGGCGGGGCTACAGTCTTTTCATGCCCATTCTGCAAAACAATTTCCAAAGTGTAAAATTCCCCAATAATTATCTAAGTTGTATTTTATTTTGCCAAATTGGGCCTTAAATTCCATTTATTCACATTCACGTTTACATTCTCATCCATTATATTCGCTTTCTCTTCCAAGTTCCATTGAAATTTGAGTCTTATTTGAGAGCGTTTGTCAATCTCGGGCTACCTGTGCAGCTTCCCTTTCAAATCCAATTTGACTGCTTGTAATTTTATATCTGCCTCGTCGTCCTGGCGAACAAAAAACCCTTGCGTCTACAATCATAATACGGATACTTAATGTTAACACAATCCGTGCCTGCATGAATACTTAAGGCCGTCGGCCGTAGGCAGCGAGTGTGGCGCAGGCAGAGGCAGAGGCAGAGGCGTCGCCTCTCTCAAGGATTTCGGCTTTGTCATGCTGTAATAATTATGCAGCGGCGAGCATAAAAAGTTCATACAAAATCAGAGGGAAATGCTTGGCCCATGGAGACAATATGTAAACAGGTGTACCCAAAGGGAATATACACTGAGAGAAAAGACTAATTGACACTATGAATGTCTGAGAAAACATTTATTTAAGTTTAGCTGAAAACCGAAAAAGATCTTAAGGCAAAAGTATTTTCTCTTAATTCCTGTTTTTGGCAATGTCGAATGTTTTCGCTCAGTGTGTTTTGGGTCTGGCGCAACTCATCGAGGCGTTGTAATTGCGTAGAAGCACGAAACACCTGTCAGCGGGCGGCGCTTGAACTGCTCGGGTTCGGGACTCGGGAGCATGTCAGAGCTGCCCAGCTAAGGCAGGCCTCTTCATGAGCTGTCAGACTAGGCGACAACAACAACAATAACAACAGCAACAACAACGACAATCATTTGAGTGTTTATTTTTTTCAACGTCATTTCTTAATTTATGTGCGAGCAGCAAAGAAAGCGCAAGAAAAAAACTGAAGGAGACTGAGTGGGGAGAAAGTAAACAAAGACATCTCTCGACATGGTGGTCATAATTTTCAAGCATGATGCGAAACAATATTAGCCCAAGTGGCAGGACACCGAGATACCCTATAAATCATAAACGAATACAATAGAAATGTCTGCAGCCCTTTTGTACGCAGCTTTATGAACGTCGGTCCAGTATATCCTGTAACAGTTGTGAATGGTGAGGTGCATCAGCTTTTTGCAACGAACAAAGAAAATCTATGCAAAAGTAGTAAAAACTTTTACTTTGCTAAATGCCAGTTGAAAACTTTCGTGGAAGTCGAAAGACCGAAAGACCGAAAGAAACTCGGTTGGAAGGCAAAGAATTCTGGCAAAGAGCATTACAAAAGTTCTTAAAAATATAACCATAAATGCGCCAGAAAGGCAGCTGGGCCCATTCCCTTTGAGGGCAGGCCAGTTGTCTGGGGCGTGTCCGCACAAAAAATGTGTAAAAAAGTGAAAAGAAGAAGCATATACATATATATATATGTATATGGAAAAGCTGGCAGCTGCACGCCCTATAATTTATGGTCCAGGTAAACACATAACTCTGCCTCAAGGTATTACACAAAAAAAAAAAAACATGCAAACAAAAGCGACAGAGTTATGAAGTTTATGCGACTAGTCTATGCCCTGTAAATTTCGGGAAATATCTATCTTTTCTTTACGTTCTCTCTTAGACAAAATTTACTTAACTTCTTACTGCCCACGCCCTTTTCCTGTCCTGCAAAAACTGTAGGTCGGTGGATCTCATTATTGCGTTTTTTATTTGTTTTTTGACTGTAATTAATGCAGCTGTCTTTCTTGGCCGAGATGTGATTTACTCTTAGCACAACAAGAAGCAAGAGCCAAGACGAAGAAAAAGTAATCAGAAAAGTTGACAAAAACCGAAGTGAACATTATCATTATTTTAATCAGAGTTGGCAGCTCGATTGCGATTGATATCATGAGAGCCAGCGCTCTGGCGCTGCCCTGCCCAGCCCCGCCCTGCCCTGGGCCCTGATAACTATGCTTCACTCCTATGCCATTGGCTCGCATTATTTTGTATTTTATTTTATTTCGTTTTACGAGCGACAGCTCGTCAACATGTGGAGGACCTGCATGTCATTATGGCTCGAGGGAGACTGGGTCGGGATTTCGGTTTCGGTTTTGGTTCTTAGAAATGGATGTGCGATTCCACACATGAGTGCGAAATAATCATTCATTTTACGAGCGAGCGGGCTTTTTTTCCCGCTGCTTTTTTGGACCTGCGCCACAGACAACATCAATTCCGAGGCGTTTGATGAAGCTGGCTTTCTCTTTTTATGTGGCATAAGATTATGGGTATATAAAATCGTAGTTGAATTCAAACAAGTGTTGAGTTTGCAGATTTCACTACAGAAATATGTATTTTACACGAATTTACTTGAGCGGACTTTAATGTGGTACAGGTTAGCATGGATATGTGAAAAAGGAGTTAGACTTGAAGATTTGCATATTACTTAAAGAAAGGCTGGCTGAGCATTTGCATAACTTGAATCACTTCACAGCAATCACAGTCGCAGTAATTGATGAGACAAATATCATTATAATATATATTGAATATTATCTGGCTGTCGGCTCTTCTCTCCACTTCCTGCTGCTTGTTCGATTTGTCGCTATGATTTGCTTCTTCTCTTAGCCCCGCCCATCTACGTGCTTGGCATATCAATCAAATCTTGTCATGAAATCCCTGCCTGGGTAACTTATACATTATTTAATCGCTGTGAGTGAATTAAAATTGAAATTCTCGCAGTTTTCTATCCCTCTTCCACTCTTCCTCTCGCACTCTCTTTGAGTAATGAGCTGATGTCGGTTTTGCGCCCTGTCCACATACATTAATACGCACTGTACGCATGCCGCAGCCAAATTAATTTTATTTTATAAACTCTCAAACAGACCGCAGCGAGGGTCTAAACAGGGTCGGCCAGGGCAAATGGAGCAGCCGGAGCAGCCGGAGCAGCTGGAGAAGCTGGAGCAGCTGGAGTGTGAGTTTGTGATAATTTTCACAAAATATAGCAAAAGAGATGTACTTGTTTAGAAACGAGGAATTTAATGTTGTTTAAAATATGCGAGCGTGTGAAGACAGGCCCCGAGACAGGAGCAGCAGGCAGGAGCCAGCAGCCTGTCTTTGAGATGTTCCTGTGTGAATTGAAGTTAATATTTTGAATAATGCTACATAATTTAAACACATAAGCGACTAGGGCCATTCGCAATTTATGAACTCAAATGTCTCAGCGGCTCCAGCGGTGACAACCAGAGCAAGGACTACAAGACTGCGGACAGCGGAGAGAGACAAAGCGGAAAGCGAGAAGTAGTTCTCACGAGGTTCAAGTTCACAGAGCTCCCTGGATAGCGCCGGGCAATTGCTCATCATTTTTCTTGGCAGGGCAACCAAATTAAGCGCCGGCCCTTATAAGTAATGGAATGCGCAAATAAATGAAGTTTTTCCCAACTGTCCCGCTGTTCCGCTGCCGGACAGTTATGTAGTACTTGAAATTTTTCAGATTTTCCCTTGCATCTGAAAATCATGTGAGCTGGCAAACAGCATTTTCCCTTTGCGAATTTGTTCCTTTAAATATAATATTTATATGAATTACTCTTGGCCTAAGCCAGTCCTAAACATGTGAATGAATGTTTAGCCCAAAGCGGCTTACAAACGAGAGGCCACACAGACGGTTATGTAAATAAGACGAGGTAGAGAGAGGATTAGGGAAATCACAAAAAGCGACATAGAGAGTGACAGAGAGAGAAAGAAAAAGAGAGGGTGAAGGAGAAGATTTATTACACCACAACTGAAGAGCACAAGCAAGCAGACCCACATAGTTGAGTTCATGAAAATCGCACGGAAGAGTCATTTTTTCAGTTTTTGCTATCCCACAACGTTGCAAAAAGCAAATCTAGCCTGGGCAAAAGACTGAGAGCATTATTTGTTTATGCGCCACATCAAATCCAAGCAGGAAAATCTCTGCAGCTGTGTTGACTTAATGAGAATCGCATAGTACGGCGGTGATAAGGCATGCGGAGTCGTCAAATATCTATGCAGCAAAGCAGAAAATACAGTCATATGTGCATTTGCCAAATAACTCAATCAACTGAGTTCACGTAGAAAACTTTTCAGCTGTGGCATGTGGAATCTCAAAAATCGATTGATTTCAATTCGTGCTGATGGAAAGATAAAATTCATTGATCTAGGTCGAGCAGATAAAGTCTTCAGCAGCAGGAGCTATATATTAATTAGTAAATAATGCTATCTCACTCGCAGCTGACGAGCATTTGAAACTTGATATGAAATAATTTCGAGCTGACAACAAAACAAAGCAAAACAACAACAAACAACAGCAAAAAAAAGGTCTCCCATCGAGCCATCGAGCCCAATCCACGGCGGGAGAGCTGGCGCCTGTTGAAGCCTTTTTGCCTGTCTGCTCTGTTGTCACAAGCACAACAAATATTTGCATTTGCGCTGCCCGGAATATACATTTATGTAAATACAGTGAGACTACACTTTAATGAACTCGCCAGGCACGCTGAGCATAAGAATTGAAATAGCTGCAAAAGTGCAGTAAAGCAAATAGAATATTTAGTTTCGTAAGTTAGAATTGATATTAGAATATTTCAAGAGAAGCATGAAGTATGGATGCATATATACATATATATATTCTTAATGCAAATGTTAACGGTACTATGTATACATACACATATCTATAATGTGCCAGGCGTGCTTGCGCACTCATTAACTTGCCAAGTTATTCGAGGATCTGGTTGAACTTTCGCCTTTGCGTGGGCGCACCCACACACACACACACCAACTCACCCACATACACACTTAAACATAATTTGGCTGCCTCATGGGTGCCATGATGTAATTTAAATCTATGGTAATATATGCAACAATTAAAAATACATCAGTTTACTTTCCTGAGCCGAGCTGAGGCTGGGGCTTAGCCCATTGTCTACTTCCGGCCGTCCTTTATGCATTAAAGCGACATCTTTTTAACTCATTAAATTTCATTGCATACTCTCTAAATGTGTGTGTGGGTGTGGGTGCGGGTGTGCGTGAGTGTTAAATGTTCTGCTGTACTTTGCATTTGTAATATTTAAATGGCTTTTTGCTCGCGCACTTTCTATAATTATTTCGTTGTGCGCGCATAATTTAAAAATAAAAAGCGATGACAGAATTTTAGAGTTTGTTAATAACATCTAACGGATGATGTCACACGTCCAGCTAACAGATCCCTGCCTGCTGATAGTCCAACCTGGCTATCAGCTCGGGCTTCTGGGATATATTTTCATTTCAAGTGCCTTTCCTTTTTATTTACTTATTTGTGTGTGTGTATGTGTGTGTAAGTGTGTCCGTCCGTCCGTCAGCCCAATTAGCAACTCATTTATTTTGGCATGGCGCCTGCTGCTCACTATATTTAGCATGCGATTCATTAAAATGAACATTCGCCAACACGTCCGCAGGTTGTGCATGTCCTGTCTGCATGTGCCGTGCTTTGGCCCGAGAGTCCTTTTGGCCAAATGCCGCCCACGCAGAAACAGCTTGTCCATGGCCGGCCGCTAATTGAGGCAACTTAAAGGCCATTCCCGGCCCGCTCGGCGCCATAAAGCAAAGTTAAAGATGAGCCGCCTAATAGACAGTAAATTTAGGCCAGCTAACTGACGGCCTGGCACTGCCGCAATCCTGGCTAAGGATCAAAGAAGAAACTCATGAATGGAGCACATAGAAAGAGACAGATAGATAGATAGATCTACTAATTGCCAAAAACTCATTAGCTGTCGAAATTAATTTAGTATATACTATTTAGTATTAATTGCGTTTATTTATTCACTAGTATTTATAGTAATTAAAGAAATATACTATGAGGCAATGGAGTAGGTGGTTCAGGAACACAGAAATGAATCATGAAAAGAAAGTTGATCTATTAATTATCATAAACGCATTAACTGTCCAGCCCAATCTAGTATTCATTTAGTATATATTGTAATACAAAAAAAGTAGGTGGTGCGGAATTTAAAAAATCCAATTTGAAAAGGATAAGTAGTTAAAAGTGGATCAACTAAGCCTCTTCAACTTATTAGCTGTTTAGTCTTATTCAGTATTTAGTATTTAGTATATTTTGCACCTAATGAAATATATAGTTAAACAAAGAAAATATGTGATGCCGGATCAACTAAATTATGAAAGATACACACAGATGGATGCATCTTTTAATTATTATATTTGTTCTTCTAATTGTTATACTTGTTGGCCGTTTAGCCTAATTTAGTATTTTGTTGTAAGTATTTGTATTTATGTAGTATTTAGCATTTCTTGCAAATACAGAAATTTCAAATGTACAGGGTATCGTATAGTTATGATACCTGAGCTCATGTTTGCTCTTTCAATTCCAGGATATACGAAAGTCATGCTTAAAGGCTCCTCTCAGCTGCTCTACTTACGAGCTCGCACAATGACTGCTTTGCTTCCATTGTCCTGAAGCGTATGCGCAATAATTTAGTTATTGCGTATACGCCCGTTGGGCCGCTCTTTGTTATTTGTCGAGCAAATACAATGGAGGCAGCTACAGTGCTCACGGTGTATCAAAGTCATGCTTTGTAGTTGTTAAATGTTTCTTAGCTTCGTTTTATTTACTCACATGGTTAATGATTTATTTATTGCGCTGTGTGCCATGTGTTGTGTGTTGTGTTTTGTGCGGCGATGTAGCTAAATATTTTATTGCTGTTATTATTGATTTTGCTGGGCTGTTAGCGGCGAGCACTTTGTCAAATGTCAGCATGAAAACAAATGTCGCCTACTAATAAAACTGTGAAAGAGCAAACAGAACAACAACAAAACAATAAACCGAAACTTTTGGCGCCCGAGCCGAGCTGGAGAAAAGTACTGCAATTAAAATTAATTACATAAACATCAATGTGCCGCTGGCAATTAATGTTCCACCTCACAGATGTAGTTCCTCTCATCTCAAAGTACCGCAACACACCTTCCTTAAGGCTGCACGAGCTCGCACGCCCAGCTGGGTCAATTCTCGCTCACGGGTTGGGTTCGGCTCGGCCGGACTCAACTTTGCCGCAGAACCCACCCGATGCTCGCAGTTCGCTCTCGATTCCCGCAGTGCCCGCAGTGCCCGCACCCACGAGCCAAGTTGACAATAATGAATACTTAATAAAGTGGCATTAAAGGTAGTTGCCCGGATCCCGTTCCAGCACTCTGCACTCTGTGCAAAAGGCGGCTAAAAGACCGAATTCCATAGAAGGCTCAAGGCAAAGTTTACCTTTGTTCTGGAGCTCAGTTCCACATTGCTTATTTGCTAGTTGTGGCTGGCTGGCTGAAATTTTATTTCAATTATCAACGGTGGAGCCGTTCGGGTCGCCTTAATGTGGGTTGTGGGCCGCCCTTAAAGGCTCCGCATTGGGGATTTCCTAATGAATATTTATTTTAATGCTAAACATTTTACACTTCAGCACTGTGGCGCCCCGGCAAATGATAAACAATATTTGAAATTTCACTTCAGCAACCTTATGGCCAAAGCTTGAATTATAATTATCGTAAACAATAAATAAACAATAAACCAAATCGACAAAACAAGATTTGTGTCTCTGTGTTAATGTGTGTGTGTGTGTGTGTTATGGAAAATCTAGTTGTAAGAAGCGCACAGCAAGGCAGAAGAAGAAGAACTAAAATCAATACATTCGTAATTTGATTACTTATTGAGGCCTGAGCCAAGTTTGAGCTGCGTGTGAGCTTGATGAGGCTCATTGGCTAAACTAATACCAATTAGTAATTACCCTACACAGATGAGATGAACTTTTTCTACACACACGATTCGTAAAGTGCGTCGTATTCCACCTCGTATTTGCTCGGGTCGCTTGCGTTCAGGTTTGATCAACGAAAAGAAGGCGCCTCAACATCAGTGCTTTTCTTACTCTTCTCTCGCTCTCTTCCTGTGACCCTGCGCTCTCTCTCATATAAGATTCCATGTATGCGTTCACAAGCAGCAATTCACGAAAATTTATATTTGTTCATCCAGAAGTCCCGTTACTTCCTTGCTTAGTAGAAGAGCAGCATGAAAGCTGTTGCCTCTCTCAAAAAGTTCATTATAATAAAAGCTTCGTCAAATTGACTTTAATACAAAAAGAAAATTCAACCGGAAACTTCGGCTCTTTTTCCGTATACATATATTGTTTTTGATTAATTTTTGATTAGCACAGGAATTTGCTCATTATTTTCAGCATTTCGATGAGTTTTAATTGAATGCCAGCAAAACTGTTCTGTCATTGGGCGGGCCTAAAAATGAAACCCAAAGGTTAGGCAAGGGCTGGAGGCAACTCAATCGAAGCGCGAATTAATAGAAATTCAAAGCACAAAAACAAATTTGATCCGAATATTTTGGCATGTGGCATATTAAACTGTGAAACTCAACTCACCTGTGTGCACCTGAACGGAGCTGAAAATCAAATTAAAAATCCAGGAATGCAATCAAAACAGACACAGAAAGAATCAAGAAAATATTTTCATTAAAGAATCTTGCCTTGTTCGTAACGAAGCAAGGAAATTGTATTTGGTTGTTATTTGGCAGACGACAAATATGTTTAATTATGAACGAAAAGACAGCTCAAATTCAGAATTTTTAATAAAAGTATATTTATTACAAAAGCCACAAATGTGAAAAGAGAAATTTGAATTGTATTTATGTTGAAAAGGAAAGCAACTTTAGATAGGTTTTTATATTTGTTTATTTATTTAATATTTTTGTTCAGTACTTATTTTATATATTTCATTGTTTAATAGAGCTATTGTCATAGAATAATAAAATAGGGCTAATAAATTTTCTGACACACTAATAAATATAAAGAATTTACCAAATGATTTAACAGCATTTTATATAGCATTCTCTATTTTATTTCATTAAATTAAGCTTACAACGCAGCGAGTGATAAAGTTGTATCGCCTCTTCTTTTTTATATGTATGCAGCCACAACTTTACTCTCTCGCACTGTCTCTGTGATCTTCAACAACACGATTCAGTATTGAGTCTTATAACAGTGATCTGTTAGATCGAACAACAGCTGTGGCTTCTCTCTCGCTCTTACACCTCTCTCTTTGCAGTAACAGAAAAATGAATGCATGTTGTCTGTTCTCATTGGCTCGTTCTTTTCTTTCCTCCGCTAAGTGTGCTTAACAGTTTCTCAAACTTATGTTATGATAACATTTAATGTTAATCAAACAAATCTCTGGTATATATAAAATAGCTTTTGGTTTTGTGAATAGCAATTTATTTTAACAATATTTTCACATATTTACAAAGAAAAAATATTAAAATAAAAAAAAAAAAAAATATTCCAACTTACTGCCAACTACTTCATATAATAATAGCCCTACCTTCCAACTAACTCATCACATTTTATTGAAATGGTATATTTGTTTTTCTTTGTCTACATCGGTTTGTCTGCTTTGTAAGTACAAGCTGGTAATAAAACCGTTAAATTATGGGCTGTAATTATAATTTTAATAAGCTTCGCTGCGGAATGTCAATGCTGCGTATAAGTAATATTAGTTTATTAAGAGTCAGGGTGGAGAAACAATGAGGAGACTAAGAGGAGCGCCCATGGCCATGGCCATGACCTCGAGCAAGCTGCAACAAGTGGCTAATGCTAATTGCAGCCAGCGGGTGCTGTCCGACCCCAGTGTGGGCGCGTCCGTTGGAAATATTTTTATTCACTCATTCGTCTGCTGCTCATTTGCCTTTGGCCTTGGCAATGGTGATTAACACGCCATGACATGGTCATCAAGTCGACGCCGGGCGCAAAATTATGCGGCCAGATATATGGGCCAGCTGATGGCGGGATGTGGTCAGAGGTGTTGGGAGTTGCCAGCAAAATGCATTTGGCTCTAAGGCGCTTTGTTAGCCAAATTGGCAGCCATATCTATATGTACTGACATATTCAATGAATGAGGTGCCCTGAATTTGTAAAATTGATGTAATCCAATTTATTGCTTATGTAAACTCGAATCAATATGCATAAATATGTTAAAGTATTTTATTTCTTCTCTCCCTCCCTTTTTTCAGATTTTCGAAACACATTTCTAGGCAGAGAAACGCGAGGACAGCGAATTGCCTGGGAATGTGGCATAAACTAAAATGCCGGAGCATGGGCGCCTTGGCGAGTGGGTGTGGCTGTAGCCCTATTGTGCGGCGCGAAAAGTGCTGATAAATGCCAAATAAAGTGACAACGATGCGAAAATTGCTGCGCTGGAACAGAGAACGCAGGACAGAGAGCAGAGCACGGGGAACAAGGAGCAGAGCCCCCAAGCAATTGGCTCAAGCAGCTTCTCAAATCGTTGATATCAAGTCTCTAAGTGCGCCGAGTGCGGCAGTCTGCGTGTCATCTAGGCAGGCCCCAAAGGCGTTAACAACCAATTCTAAATATACTCCATTGCACATACATATACATAGATATATGTATATGTATATATATAGCTCCTCGGTTACCTCGCTGTTTACAGTTGTTCCCTGCCTTGCAGGGAGCCCAGAGAATACATTAAAATGCTGGCATCCCTTTCGGTTGGCCGCTATGCGTCACTTCCATTTCAATTTCAAATTTGTGCATAACTGTCGCACGATTTTCCTCTTTTATTTTGATTTCCACTTTTCCACATTCTGTTGTTGGTGAAATGAAAATTCACCAATTGCGCGGAAATCTGTCAACGCAGACGTTTGGCTTTCTGCGTAAAAAACAAAAACCACAACAAAAGGTAAATAGCTGAACCCCTAAGAAAATAAGTTACCCAACTTAGGATTCCCCACAAAAAAGGAGAAGAAGGCAAACAACGGCTGGCCAAACAGAGTAAGCCTAAGCCTGACATTGATGGGATTTGCGCAGGCCACAGCCACAGCCCGAGGAGGCAAATGTCGTTCGACTGGACGGAGAATAGGCGAAATGGAACGAGACAGCATTCTTCTGGATGTTTCAAAGACAATTAATTGAAATTTAACTTAGTGCTGGCAGAGAGATTAAAGAGTCTCGGCTATCTCAGATCGAGTCAATATTCCATCTCAGTTCCCAAATCTTTCCTCAAGGAGACGGTCGCACTCACAAGCAGTCGCCATGCAAAGCAAGTGAAAACTCTTAGATATAGTCAACAACAACTAGTCGTTATTTCGATGTGTATTTCAATATTATATTATAGCAACGTAAGCCCCTCCCCTTACCCTCTCCCACACACTCTGAGAAACTAATTAACCCAGATGTCTAAGCTAACTTAGTTCTAGGAGTAAAGCTGTTCGACACGCTTGCAAGGTATAATATAATTTAGCATACTAGTAAATTGCACATTTCGAGCTGCAAAACAAGTCTCGAATGCTGCAATTGACGTGGAGGTGGAGGGGAAGTGGAGTGGAGTGGAGTGGAGTCGAGGCGAATAACCAAAAGTATTCAAAGTCCTGTTGACCATGAGCCCCAGTTTTTTTGAAAGTTGATGTCAGGCCATGTTGCCGACGATGACAGACAATTATACTCTCAAATTGTTTTTCTGCAACTCAAGCCACATCTGCTGCATGTCCTGCAAATGAAGCTTTCAAAAAAAAAAAAAAAAAATGTCAGCGATTTTTGTGTACTTTTGGTTTGCCAAATGTGAAGAGCTGCACGGCGTATACGTAATGTGTGTTAGTTGTTAAGTGGAGTAGAGCATAAGCAAGACGAATGCCATGTTGACATGTGAAATGTTGCACTGTGGTTCATCTGAATGTGACTACGACTACGACTATGACTATGACTATGAATAGATAATTTATATATGAATACTCACGAAATTATTTGTCAGCTAAGCGGGGGTTTCAATGGAAATCCCAAGTGAATTTTTATCGAAAAGTAAATGAAGCCAAATATATAAATATTTTAATTGTAATAGACTTAGGCCAAGTATTGAAATGGAAAACTATTTCAATGAGAACTTATTTCATAAGGTTTGTGTTAACTGTAAAACTCAGTTAAGGAACATTTTAAAATACTTAACACTAGGCTAAGTTGAAGACAAACTAAGCTATAGAACAAACATATGTCTAGTGTGTATGTGTATATGTGTAGAAAACTATGTGAAAGACTCATAAGTAAAAGTCTCAGACAAAATAAGTAAATATTCAAGTAATTGCAAATTTGATAATTTTAAATGAATTTGTAAGTTGATCGTAATTTAGGCGGATTTCTAAAACGAACTAAGACGCGATAAGCATCAAATACTATATGAATGTTTGTTGTATGTTAAACATTGACAAGGTAAATAAAGTATACAAAATCTAAGCTAAATATTAAATAAAATATATATAAATTAAAAAATCGAAAATCAATTTCTATTGCCAAGAGCAACTCGTATTAATTAATTGTGCATAACAATATGCAAATTAAAATGTTTTAAATTGAACTAAACCACAAGCATAAAGTCGAATAACGAATGAAATTAGATTTCAATTGGCAAATATACAAATATGAATATATATATACAACTATATATATGAATGTATATACAAGTAAATGTGTTTGTATTAATTTACTAATTGGAATTGTTAAGCGAAGAGTAAAAAACAAAAACCAAAAGAAGCCGTCACAGAAGAGTATTACAATTGATTTAGTTATCAATGGAAACCAATTAAATACATGTTTTAATTTTAATTTCAATTTCAACGGCGAATACAGAATGCGTTTTAAATTTGAATTAAATGAAATATTTAATAAATAATGAATGTTGAATAAAAAATGCATAAATATGTGGTTTTTCTGATGTTTGATTTTTCGCTACTGTTGACTCAGCCAATCATTTAAAAAATTCAGGCATTTTATTTGCTTGTCAAACTGCGCAACGAATACGCATTTAATGGCGCATACCAAACTTAAATCGATTCATATCAGTAATGAACACGTTTCTAGGAAAATATAAGTAAATACTGATAGTCAGAGACTGTTTACTTTGCGGTTTATATCATTTTATACACTGAGAAATGCACCATGAAGAACAGCTGAGTGAGGTGAGATGAAGGCCAAGCCATATTAAATAACTTAAGCGGTTAAATGGGCAGACTTATTCGGCTAGTTAAGCGTTAGTGACTTGTAGCTAAGGGAACAAACACTTCCATATAAAATATACCAAGGCTGACGCTTACAAATTCAGCATGAGTCGTGGTATGAAAGCACAAACTCAGAAGAATAAACTAAACACCATCAAAGTGAGAAAGTATTCATTTATTAACACTGTTAGAGAGTTGGATTTGATTTCGATATAATTTAATCACTTAAATTTTTTGTCCTATATACCTAACATAAGAATTTTGACAATTTTCAGTGAATGCAATTACCATTTATTTTCATTCTAATGAAAATTATATATATAATTCATATTAAAATTTTATAATTTACATTTTCATTATATATATTTCATTATTTCTGTTTCAAAGACAATCAAATGAAATTTAGCTTAGATCAAACAAAGATATTGAAGGGACATTTAAGAGTCTCAAGAGAGAGAGAGAGAGAGACTCTGGAAACAATTTATTCATTTAAATTGTATTCCCAATTGTATTTGTTGCTTACTTTGTTACAGTAAAAGCATTTCCAAAAGAAATAAAATTCAGATAAAATAAATTGCATATTTTCTTTTACACCTACAAAATGAATTGAATTGAAATAAATTTTAAGGCTTGTCTGACTGCGGTTAGTATGTGAAAAGCATTTTTTAAAGAGTGAATAAATAAATAAATATATGTATGTATATATTTATATTATATGTAAAGTAATTATAAAGCAGCGATTCACCATCTCTTCATGATTTGTATTTCGGACATTCCTCGAAGGGATAGAACTTTTCAAAAATGTCAAGTGCCTATTTAGTGGATGGGGACTTACTGCGTATTACGCCCCTAAATACATTAGATCACACAGTTTTTGTTTGCCTTCAGTCAACCAGACAGCCCACGGGGAGTTGTTGTAATAAAAGCAATCGGCATAAAGTTTCCCATATTCCCAGTGGTGGGGCGCGTACTTCATATCACGAACTCTGGCTTAGCTTAAACTCAAATAGCTTTTAGTCAATGAAATGATTACAGCAGGAATACTTTCCACATGCTTGATTTCATAACAACTTTTGAAAGAATATTTGATTCCAATCTAATATCGTTTAAGGAACTGCGGCATATATATATGACAGAAGAAATGTCTGTCTGTATTCAAAGCATATTTACAGTTGGCAAACGATTAGCAGGCTGTGTCAATTAGGCAATTGTCTTGCAACTTTCGCACTCTGTTGAACATTTCCGCACTCCATTCAAGTCATTTGTGGATGCCACATGTGTCGATTGTTGCGTGCTAAATGTGCTCGATGTAGTCATTGTCTACTGTGTATTTTTGTGTGTTGTTGTTGTTGTTGTGTTTGTGGGTTTGCAGAGCAAACAAACAAGTGGCAGAACACATAGGAGAAGCGATTTGTCACTTGATAATTTACGGCCAAATACACTGGGCCGACTGCATCTGCAGGGGCGAATGGAGCAGTCCCCAAAGAGCGAAGCAACAAGTAATTCGGCTCATGTTGAGGTGGGCCGAGTTATTTTTTGTTTTACTTTCAATTAAAGTGCTGGCATTCCAGGAACTTTTGACAACGCTCGACACGGGGCGTATGCGTAATGCTCCAAATGGCCAAAGTTTGAGGGCGGAAAGTAAGAAAGTTTCGCAAATGACATGAGAGACGGGAAAGTCAGAAAGAAAGCGAAAGGCGAAACTTTGTCAACTTGTATGAAATAATTATGAAATTAATTCAAGTCACATAACTCAACAGCTTGACTCTTTAAGCAAGTTTCAACCTAAGCACGCTTAAGCGCCCCTGCGTCCCTCAGAGATGCGGGAATTAATGTGCTGACATCGCAAAGGATATTTATCTGAGAGTGTGTAGGAATAATATTGGCTAGCCCTTTCAAATTATTTGATTTATGTTTGTTATTGTTTGGGTTGTCCGTAAATAAATATAAATTGTATCCGATCTGCGGCAACTTCAACTCGAGCAGAGTCTTTGAGAGAGTCTTTCTCATTTTTTTGCCAACCACAAAAGTCTCGCATGTGGTATCCTCTCTACATTTTGGTTTTCTTCTTCTTCTTTTTTCTTTTTTTGGTATTCATGACATGCTAATGACAATTTTTTATGGCCGCAAAGTTAGGGCAACCACATGCGCACCACACAAACACACATGCAGACACACACTCTTGAGACTTATGTGGATGTGTGTGTGGTGGCCACTGAGTAAAAAATGCAACTTTAATGTGTGAAATGAATTTATAATGAGCGTAATGAGCGGAGTAAACGCTTGACCAATTGAAGCCCAATCAAATTGTCATGGCTAAAGGGTATTTAGCAGTCGATAAGGTTTATTTGACTTTATTTTAATGGCCATTTAAATGCAGATTTAAGCACTGCCTGGACAATGTGCATGTCATTCGACTAATGACTGTAAAAATGTGTCTGTGTGGGTCTCTGTGTGTGTGAGTTGCTTTCGTTGAAGGCATATGTGAAAAGATATTGTGGCTCGCTTGATTACAACAGAATCGTTTCAAGTTGGCTTTGCATTGTTTTTTTATGACTAAGGGTATGTAGAGTTCTGAGAAAAATAATTAACAATAATTAAAAAAAAAAAATAGTCGCTTTATCATTTTTGAAAATTTACATAGTCGATTTTTCTATATACAAGCCTGCTCATGGATATATATCTCTTGTATAAATAATTACAAACTGGTTGCTTTATAATTTCATGGAACTTATGCAATCAAAAATATTATAAAAATCAATCATATTTCTATATATATTCAGCTCAATTTACATTTTACTACATTTCCAAATGATGACTAAAAGTTGTCAAACGCCAATATATAGTATTTTGCTTGATTTATTCAAGATGTCAGAAGAGCAAACAATAAATATATAAAATACTTGAAATTCGCTTGGAATAAGCGAGTGGCGTCTGGCATTTGGCATTTTGCATTTCGTATTTTGTATTTCGCATTTGGCAGTTGGCTGTTGACTGTTGGCTGTTGGCTGTTGGCGTCTCGGCCCTCACTTGAATGGAGAGTGGCCAACGAGCGTGGTGGGCCATTTGACCGAATTGATTGCAGTGAAATGTCAGCCTTATTGTATTTGTTATTGGATATTGAATTGACGGACAAAGGCTTGACAAATTCCGAGCACTCGCTGGGGAGACTTGTCTGAGTTGAGCGCAAACAGCAACAAAAAATATAAAGAAAATAATAAAAAAAAAAAAAAGGGCTGTAG